AAACATCAATGCCCAGAAGCCCAATAATGAACACTCCCTTGTCTGAAAACCTTCTATATATTTACCAGCTGAAGTTAGCATAATGAAAGGTATTGCCTTACCATGTTTTTGTCACTGGAAACCAGATGCAATTTCAAGGCAGAATGGGACAAGCAGAGGGTTCTGCATTATGCATTAGGGTATCACAGCACTGACTGGGGAATGAAGACCAAGACACTTGGGCTAAACGCTCCGTTTGTTTCATGTGTTTAGCACCACAATCCACAGAAAGCACTGTGCAATATACCACTAGAACTCAGGTGTTTGCATACATGTGCAACATAATGAAACAGGTGGATCTCCCCCCCCCCACCTCCAGTTTAAATTATTGTCTGAAGCCACTTCTCTGCATATCCCAAATTAGAACCCACACATCCCATGGTTTGTCTTTCCTTCCATTCACACCTTGTCATCCCTGCAGGTCGCATTTCAACCCCTTCTAGACTGCCGGCTCTGCAAAGAGATTAGATTGCGTCGCAGTGGCCTGATGCTGCGCAGCTAAGCTTCCATCTGCTTCCCTTCTTTCACCAGTATTGGTGGCAAAGTCAGCCATTGAGAGAGAAATATGACCATGCACACGGAACACCAGCTGGGCTCTGATGAGATCTCAGGTGAAGAGAGATCCCTGCAAAGAACCCAGGGCAAGTTCTGAGGCCAGAGGAAGGATTTCCTGCATCAGGCAGGGAGTTGGAGCTCCAGATGGTCCACAAGGCCTCCTCCAACTGGATGATCTGAGTTTATCTATTCTAAAAAATATTTATATCCAGCCATATCATAAAATATATGGGCAGTGTGCAGCAATAGGTATACAATAAAACATAAAACACCATGAAAAATGGTACAAAATAATCACTGAAACGACCACATTGGCCTGTCAGCATTAAAAGGTCAGCATTAAAAGAGATGGCTGAACATCAAAAGAGAGGGTGCCTGTCAAATCTCTGCTGGAGAGTCCCTGGAGCCGCAGGTGTGGCTAGGAGAGACTTTTAGCAGCTATGGCTGGTAAATACATTCATGGCCAGGATTGTTTGAGACCACAGTTGTCCAGGCATTGGTAACCTCATGGCTGGATTACTGCAATGTGCTCTATGTGTGGCCACCACTGTGGTTGGTCCGGTGGTTGCAGCTGGTGCAGAAAAGAGCAGCTAGGTTGTTTGTGTGGGCAAACTACAACCATCATAACAAAACTTCACTTGCAGGATTTGCACTGGCTGCCAAGTTTGCTACCAGGCCAAGTTCAGGGTGTTGGTACCAAGTCCCTATACAGCTCCAGACAAGGTTGCTTGAGAAGCGCCTTATACACCCAGTAGATTGCTGTGTTTTGCAGGAGAGTTTCTCCTGTGAGTGCCACAGACCTCAGAAGCCCTCTCCACAGTAACTCGGAGCAGGGCTTTTCGTGTGGCTGCCCCTGTTCTGTGGAGCAGCATTTCTGTCGAGATACAGCAGGCCATCACTAGCTGCACTTTCCAGAAACAATTGAAGATAGTTATTGTTCTGACAGGCTTTCCTAGCTGGATAAATGAGCATTCATCATAAGTGTCCACTAGTTAGGATTTTAGTCTTGCTTTAAATGTTGTTTTTGTGTTCTTAACTGTTTTTAATTATCTTATGTGCACATTGCCTCGAGACAGTGGTTTAGAAGGCTATTAATAAAGCAATAATAGTAAATTTACAACAGGCTCTTGCTTCTGATTGTAATAACCAGAGAGAAGGGCAGCCAAGGTATGAACACAAGCAGCAATAAACAATGCCTGAGCCTAGATCAACAAAAACTTTTAAAAACAAAGTCAGCAACTAGTGTTGCTGCTGTTTTTCAGTTCAGGTGAAAGAAGAGCAAATTATTTGAGATCACAAGGACTGAAGGAGAAATAGTCTTATAGGTACAATGAAGCAGGATGTATACTTTTGCTCTTAAGTAGTAAATGAGGTACATGAAAGGGGCCAGGGCAGAGACAATGTGACCCCCATGAGGAATCTCTGGCAGCCCCATATTTCTCCTTTTATCCCCAGAATGGTAGGCACCCACCTTGGGAAACTTTAGCACCACCTGTGCAACTCCAGCACCATATTTGCACCAAGTTCAAACCGTGAGGCTGTGCAGAAATGCATCGTCAATGTCTGGTTCAAAGTGTGGCAATTCCCTTTTCTAGGGCATTCATCAAAACCTCAAGCCAGATGGAACACAAGATCTTCTTGCTCATCTTGGCATTCAGCTAAGCTGGGAGATGTATTTTCAATTACTATAATAGGATGCCGCACAGCCTCAGCACTAAATGATGTTAAATAGTTTTAGCAATGATAGCATTATATCCTGATCTTCTTTTAAAACCTGTCAACATATGGCCGGAGCCTCCAGCAAAATACAAGCTGAAATCGATACGCAGAAAACAATTCAGTTAGGGTTTGTTTTCCCCTCCAGCATTTTAAAGCAAAAGAACAACCAATAGGAGCACACTACAAACCTGTGCCCCTTCTTCTTTCAGGCCTGATTCTACAGCATTGCTAGGAAGACCACATCTAATTATGGGTTGAACAATTTCCGTAACAACAACAAAACACCTCCTTCCTACAAACCATATGTCCAAACACAAATAATAAACCAAACACAAATCATATAGCATGCCTCCTCACAGGACCTTTGCTTTGCTGAGACTGGTTCAGGTGCCCAAGTGCTCTTTCCTGGGTGACAGAAGGTCAGTTAATCTCTATTGAAATACTGCCTTTTCACATTTTGCATGCACAGAAATTCCAGTCAAACACTGTATTTGACTAGAAGGCTGAACAGAATGTTTCAATCACTAGGCAACGGGCCTGTTAAAATTTATTCGTACCATCTGGGCAATTGACATCAGGACAATAATAGACTTTGATTTCCAGAAATCTGCTCTGTGCTGAGTCCAGTTTCCTTTTCCCTTAAAGCAGACGTGGAAAACCTGCAGCCCAAAGGCCACAGATGGCCCACAGCCCAGGGTTGGCACTACAATGAGCCTTTCTGATTTGAGGCAGTCACCTCAAGCAGCACTCTGGGAGGAGTGGCAGGTTTGGGTCTGGGTTCTGCGCCCAACCTCCCTTCCTGCATAATCTTCTACCCGGGACAGTTTCTTCACACTTACAAATCCCTTTCTATCCTTTCTCTTTCCACTCTTCACCCTCTCAAAACATGCCTCCTCTTTCCGTTCCACCGACCAACCTCTCTCTCGCTTTTGCACCATGCCTTACTAGCTGGATGTCTTGCAAAGCTAGGAGCCTGCCTGTCAGGAGGCAGCTGCACATGCAGCTTGGAACATGAGTGGGACTCTGTGGCAAAGTGATCTGACAGATGAATGGAAAAGAAGGGACAGTAAGACACCATGAAATGGGGAGGGTCAATGCTGTGGTGAAGCAAGGGGGACAAAATGCAGGAGGAAAAGGTGGGGAGGAGAACAAAAGCGTTTTCCTGGTACATAAAAGCACTTTTAAGCTCTCTGCCTTGCTTACTGGGCTCTGGGAAACTCTCGTGCAGGCTCTAGTGGCCTTTGTGAGATCTTGAGGAGGCCTCCAAAGCTCAAGAGTTCCTAGAACTCAGTAGGAAGGCTGAAATTGGGCTAGTTAAAACTGCGTAAGTTGTGAGTTAACGGTATCCCAGAGACGCCACCATCTCCAGTCACCCTCATTCCAAGCAAACCAAAACCAAAGTGTGCCCTGGCATCTGTGAAATCTCTCACCACTTGGAGATCAGGGTGCATGTAACAATATTAAGGTCCATCTCCAACAAGTTCTGGTTGCCCTTTTCCTGAAAAGTGGTTCACTCAGGCTGAAGGTACTTCATTTCCTCTCAAACCTTTTGGTCAGGTTAGATATTATATTCGGCCATCCTCACCTGGTTTGCAAAATATACCACTCCATTCCATGTCCCAGACAGATTCCTAAAGCATTGTGCTCTCTCAGGGTCCAGAAAACTGTAAAACTGGGAGGGGAATTACTAAGAGAATCTCATCCATGCTGCATTTCATATGCTGTGTTGCCCTACATCAGGTTGTTATGTAATGTTGCCTCAGAAACTGCCTTGCTGCTTGCCTCATGCAAGTTCTGTGTGGGCTTATTCTGCTGAATTGTACAATGGCAGTTTCCTATTGCTTTAGCTTATTGGTTCAGTAGATATACATCTCTCTCTCTCTCTCTCTCTCTCTCTCTCTCTCTCTCATACACACACACACACTTGCTGTGAGATTTTTTTAAAAAAAAATCAGCCTTGTTTCGTTATAGACAGGAGACAGAGTCGATGCAGTGCACAGTAAGACCAGCTAAAACTCTGTTGCCGTATTAAGCAGCTAACCTACTATTACCTCAGATTAAGCTCTTTCAGTGCATTTTCTACAACCTTTTACTCTCCTCTGACTAGCTGCTTCAGGCAAGGTTTTACGTCAAATCAACACTTTCAGGATTCATCTACTTTACGCTACAGTTCATACTCGTCCACTTTAAAACCAGTCATTGATATTATCTACACAGTGGAAAAGTAGGATGAGCACTCAGCACCACTGTGGGCAGGTGCAGAATAAATGCCTGGGTTAAGTCTGAACATTGAATTTTAAAATGCAATGTTCAGATACTGAGACCTGGGTTTGGGGGCGCATAGCCAAGAAGTTAGACGCTGAAGGAATTTTTGAGTGTTTTATTACTATTACACTGAGTGTTTTGTTATATTACATTCTAATAGGTGTCTTGTATGGTGCTCTTTATCTTTGAATATTAATCCACTTTGAGCATTCACAGAAATAGATGATGATTATCTCATGCCCGCCCCTTGTCCCCCAATTCATTGGAACTCCTTCTGTGAGACAGCTATCAGGCTGCAATGAAGAGAGCAACAGGATGGTGAGCTAGTTCACCATTTTGCTCTGGATGGAATAAGAGCAAGCATCTGCAGGAGGATGAATCTTCTGTTAGGGACAACAACAAAAAGTCAAAAGACAGGTGCATGTTGTTTCAGGTACATAATTTATTTTCATTTTAAAAAATCATACCCATGAAAAGCAAGATCAGACCTAGAAAGAGTGAATCAGCTGCAGACTCTAAAACCTAAAATTGTCTAGGACCATATAAACAGCTACAAGATTCAGACCTCGGTGAGGCCACTCAATATTAGGTATCCCTGTTTCACAGACAGGCATTAAATAGTCAGTAGAAATTCCCCATGAAAACATGCTCTGAAGAAACATTAACCAAGATGCTCAGAAGCCAGCGGAATGGATTCCGACCTAGCCATTCCCAGTTCCTTATAACAACAATACAAAATATCAAAAAACACTACTTGCTACTTACACAGTATGCAGTCAATAACCCGCCCCACCCTGAACAAAACCAGCAATCTCCCAGCCCACCACTCTTGGAAACCAAGAGCACGGTTGACAGGGAATCTCTCTTTCTCAAGCCTTCTTGAAATGAATGGATGCCGCTCAAGAGCACTGCACATCTTCTTGTGCAGCTCCCATTCATTTCAATAGCGCCCAAGCAGGAGGATTTCATGTTCGACTGTGTTGCAGTCCTTCATTCCATTAGGCATACTGAAGCTGCAGTCAGTTCAGTGGGACTCTAAGCACATCTAACAAGGTTCAGGGCTGCCACCTAAATGCCTCCCTACTTGCTGCAGATCCTCTTGGGTCAAAAAGTTAATTTCTTTTAAACCAACAGGGCTCACCCCCCTCCAAGTTACCAATGTAGGAGCAGAGATTAGTCCCACTTGCGCCTCTTGTTCCTGGGCCTGCCTCAAGTGCCATGGCTGACCTTGAAGAGTGTGAGGAGATGCTAGAGGTCTACCTTGGAAATCGATCTGTGCGGAATGTTGCCAAAAGTTTTCTGATGTCCGCTAACAACAGACATCATATCTTACCTCCAGGTATCAGATGGCAGTTTCCAGCTCCAGAATGACTAATGCTAGGGGAGGAGCCAATAATCCGGAATGTATACCGTGTCTGCTTTAAGCTCATCATACCTGCAAGCTATACAAAGAGAGTGTGAAGTATCCCCTTAGGGAACAAACTAGGAGAAAATTTCCCAGGAGTTGTTCTATGGATAATCTTAATGGATATGTATGTACACTTAACCGAAATAAATGCAGTAGTATGCAGCACTCAATAAAACTCAGCATTGTTGATGAAACTTCCTATGACCAAGCAGCTTTCCAAATTGATTCCCATGAGCTGCTTTCTACAATGCACCCATGCTTTGGAGGTGCAGAGGGGGACCAATGTAGAGATTGGGGCCAAGGCAGTCCCATATGCTGGCTACTTCTCAGGAGGCTCAACTTAGGTAGAGAGTCTTTAAGAACCAGCTGCAGCCCTGAGCAGTGAGCCCTCCAAATCAACACCACATACTGTTTTCTCTTACATTTTGCACCAGGGTCACCAATGGAGCCAGCCAGAGGCAGAAAAAACTCACTAATGACTTGCCCGTGCTCCTACATGCTTCCCTTCCGCGTTCTTCTCTGGGTCTCCAGCTGTCCTGTGACCATCCCCAATACTACACGGTCTTCAAACACACTTTAACATGTTAATAATCCATGTGCCAAACTCATGGTGAGCTCCATAAACGGCCTATGCAAAAAAGAGGAGTCCAAATGTTACCTCCTAGTCCAAGGCAGAGCATATCAAGCCACATGCTTCTTAGCCACAGTCTAAAGCTGAGACTGTACTGGAGAAAGAAGAGAGATGGTCCCTTTGGCCTCACTGGCCTGGCAGCTGGAATACTGGCAATAATTGACGGAACTCTGTCATGCAGGAAAGGGCCAGCGTTGACACCTCAAAATAGGTGCAGCTGGTGTGATTTCTCCATACAGATTCCTCCTCTTGAGTCTTCTACACAGTCTCTACTTTTAAATCGTAACTTACATCATTGGAATTTGGCGGATGGGTTACTGATGATTCTACAGATGCGGCCTCAGTATCTGTCCTGATGGTGTTCGGTTCAATCAATATGGCCTAGAAAACAGAAGAAATTTAAACTTGATTTCATTAGCTGGTATTATCACATTTCTTATCCCTATCCAACCAAAGCTATATTCCTATCAGCTAAAATATGTACCCCAGGGACAGATGAATCTATTAATTTCAATTTTCATCAGTTTCTCATTTTTTCTGATTCTTAAATTCAGTTTTCCACATTTCTGCATCAGTTTGTAGACACTTTTTGTTTTTGTTTTGTTTTTTAAAAAGAAATCATTAAAATTTCTCATAATTTTAGTGCAACGTTTTCCTAATATATGCATTTCATAATATAACACATTTTTGGAGTTGATTTTCACTAATAAATGCACTTTATGCACACTTCCCTGTAATATAATGCATTTCTGAATTTTATTTTCATGAACATATGCATTTGTAAGCATGCTTTCCCCTAATGCATGCAGTTTTAGTGCTCATTACTTGGTTTGAGAACTGCATCACAAAATTTGGAGATGTGGATTTTGAAGGATATTATTTCAGAAAGTGCAAATTAAGGAGCTTTGCATTAAAACGTGAACCAATTCCCCCACTATCTGCCCAACCTAATTGGGTCATCTTCCTCACCCTACCGTCTTGTGCATGCATTTACCTATGCAGCTGATTGAAGTGCAACTAAGACACTTGACACTCTGGTCCCCAAACACAGATGCAATTGCAGTTCCGGTGAGAATTATGCACTTACCTCATTGGAATCAGAACGGGTTGCCCGGCACCAAAAATATGCAGTGGCAGATGCGATGCAAAATTCCACAATGGTGAAGGTCAGCAATACAATGGCAATCCTGTTGCCTGTCTTCTCCAAAAAGGAAACAAACACAATGTTACAAAGCTGATCACCAAACTGAACTTTATCCATTTATCTTCTCCCATGAACCTGCCTAGATTTGTACCTTTCCCCCCTCTCTATTCTGTGTGAATGCAGGAAGAAGTTATTTGAAGCTGTCAACCAAATGTCAGTGAAGGCTTGTTTTTTTGCAGGTAATAAAATGTAAAGGAAGGAATTCAAGTTAGGGTATAAATCAGCTTTGATCTGGCTGTGGCATGGGTGTCTAGCTAATAGGAAATGAGACTCTGGCTGTAATCCTCTGCATACTTGCCTAGGAGTAACCCTTACTGAACACAGTAGGACTTACTTCTGGGTAAACATGCATAGGATTATTATCAGGTTGCCTGTGTCCTTGGTCTGAATGATTTAGCTTGAGAAAACACCCACCGCTGTACTTTCATGCCGGCTCTTTAAAGCTTTTTGGCTCTGTGTGTGTGTAAGTGAGACAGACAGAGAGAGACAGAGAGAGAATGTGAGATGGAAGGAGGATGGGGAGAGAGAGGGAGGGAGAGAGAGAGAGAGAGAGAGAGAGAGAGAGAGATGTTCCCTGCACAGTCTGGCTCCAGTCTCAGCTCTCAGCTGGAGACTTTCAAGATTCATGGCTAATAAATAGCACCACAATGTCAGTCACCTTAGGTTCCCTCTTAAGCAGGACCTGGAATCAAGATCTGAAGCTGGTTAGCAAATGCTACTTAAGATCAGGGCCAGACCAAGACATTTTGCTGCCTGAGGTGAAGGACAAGATGGTGCCCTCCCACATCCCTCAAGCCCACTCACCTGGCAGTCGAATCTTACTTCAACACTGGCAATGGGACAATGCCTTTCATCACACCTGTGACTAGCAAGCAAATTCAAGGGGTGAAGAGAAGGCTGTGTTGCACAAACATCTCAAACAGCTCACCACCATTCCAAACCCATCAGTATCTGCTGCCTGAGGCAGCTGCCTCACTTTGACTAATGGCAGGGCCAGCTCAGATGAAATCCTGGTTGCTAGCATTTACCATAGTTCATTGTGCTGATGCACTACCTAACAGCGGTAAAGGCTAGCAGGGGGAAAGCGGCGGAATGAGATTTATGTTAGAGAGAGCTGGGTGAGGGAACATGTGGGCAGTTTTCCCATAGTGAATTTCACATTGTAATGCCAACACAGAAGTGGGGCAAGCATCACGACAATAATGTGGTTCCTGAGAGTATGGATGTGTGGGCTGTGCAATGGCTGCTCTTTGAGACTGTGCTACCCACATCTTGACCCTCACCTACCATTTGGGATCCTGACAGTCCCCATGCAGCTGGCATGCTGACTCTGTATGCTTGACAGCATTTGGAGGCACCTTAAGCACATTGTAAATGCCAGTCCATTTATATTAAAATATGCATGTACTAACCCCTCTGACGCCCCTCCCCTCGTTAATCTCAAAAAGTTATGTTGTTGCTGAGGTAGGGAAACTTACCATAACCAGAGAATAGTGATGATTATCATCGTAATGAAATGGCCCATTTTTGCTCAAGTCTACTATAAAAGTCAATATTCCAAGTAATGCAAAGATGGCACTGATGATATTCATGGCCTGGGAGCCTTTTACCTGAAAAACATAAAACACTGAATGCAGGCTATTTGCGAGGAGGGATTCTGCTATTTAAAGTGGTAGCAAAGTGCAGGAGCTGCCATCCTCTTCTATAGTCTTTGCTTAGGAACTCCAGTCTCTCAATTCCAATGTCAAGTGAGTCTCATGATGTCAAGTGAGACTCATGATGTGAAGCACCCAGAGAGTGGATCTGGCAGCCATGGAAGCTGCTTAGGCTGAAAGACACAAATGGCAGCTTTGGAGGGAGCTGAAGGCAGCATGATAGAGACATCACTGCCTGTGATGTACACTCTTTTTTGTCTCGCTGTTATCTCTGCTCAAATAGGTTTTCTGAAACACTCCTCACCCTCTGTGCATCCCTGAAGAGAGACAATAGGGGTATATGAACGCCGTCAGCAGCAAGGCCTCTGTTGTGTGCTATTGTCTGCCTCCAGCTCTGGATCACCCAAGAAGAATATATCAACTTTCCTCTGCTTGAAACTCTCACCCTCTCCACAGCAGCTTCATCTGGGTTCCCGGAGATTCAAAACCTCACTACAAAGGCATTCTTCAAAGTTCTTCCCATAAGACTAAGAACAACTTCAGATGCAGCCCCATCATCCTCTGCATGCTTACTCAGATATAAGCTCAGCTGAATTCAGTGAGGGTGAGTCCTGTGGCATTGAATTTAAAGTGCAATCCTATGCATATTTACTTGGAGGTAAAGAGTGGGACTTACTCTTATATAAGTGGATATAGGACAGCAGCCCTAATCTAGTAGATATAAGGGAACCAGCAGCCCTCCAGTTGTTACTGGACTCCAGTTCCCATCAGACCCAGCCAACATGGCCAGTGGTGATGGATAATGGGAGTTGTAGTCCAACAGCAGCTGGAGGGCCATTCCCAATTTCCCACTCCTTACCTAAAGCTTTGTATTTACAATAATTCACAGGGATAGACTGAAAGGGCCTTGGAAGGACATGCCAGGAAGCAGAACAGTGCTTCTTGCTCTTATAGGAAACATAATATGGAGAAGCTGTAAGGAAGATGACTAAATACTGGGCCACAGGAGGGCAGATTATCCTCCACACCCTCCTCCTCCAAGTGGTACAAGCCTCTCACTCTGTCCAATTTGTGGCTAGTCCATATGGAATATATGGCAACTCAAAAAGGAGTGCAATAATGCCACAAGAAATAGCCCCTGTCCTGCCCTGTCCCGCCATTTCATAAATATCTACCCCAGTATCCTTTGCACATATTGCATAGCTCTTGCTAGCCCTACTCCCCATTATAAAACCAAGCTTCAGCAAGGCAGCTGCATCATCTACCCTCAAACCTGGGTAAATGTCCCTCTGTATTGTACTGAGCCTTTCAATACTGCGCAAAAACCCTATATATAAAGCGGAGAATTCCCCTGCAATAGGACCACATATATTTCATGAAAACCGGGTGTAGCAAACCTATGGCCCCCAATATGCTTTTGGACTCTATATCCCATCAGCACCAGCCAACCTTGCTAATAGCCAGGCACGATGGGAGTTGTAGTTCAACAGTATCTGGAGGGCAACAAGTTCCACTTCCCTGATGCAATCTGATCAGGGCTGAAATCAGGCTTTGAATGGGACTTTCTTTAACCTCAGAATCTACTTTCACTTCAGATTATTGTTACAAAGTCTCCACTATTTTTTCATTGCATTTATATTCCATCTTTCCTCCAGGAAGCTCAAGTAGCACATATGGTTCTCTCCCCTGCCCCTCCCACAACCTGTCCTCACAGCAACCCTATGAAGTAAGTGAGGCTGAGAAATAGTGAATTCTCCTCCTGAGCTTCATGGCTGAGTAAGGATTTGAACCAGAGTCTCCTCAGTTCTAGTCCAATGCTCTTAACCGCTACACCACGACACACTGTTGCTCAGTTGATCCCAGAAACCTGCCAAACTTTAGCTGTTCATCTGAGGTGAGCAGAGTTAGACTACAGTTAAAAGAACGGCTGACTTCAACTCACTGCACACTCTGTAGGGCTCTTCTCAGCACCAATTGAGAGGCATCCGGAGACAATGAACTGTTTGGGAGGAAGGAAACAAGTGTGTAATTGATAGTCATGTTAAAGGCAGTTACCCTTCCCACAATCACTGGACCCACCTTAGAAGGCTGTGATAGAAATGAGGGGGAAGATTGGTACCATCCTTGCTGGCTTTTTATTTATTTTTAAGGATGGTTTGTTCAAGGGAGAAAGCCTATTATAGCCTCTTAACCACATGTAGCAAGGTTGCCCCATCATCTGGCCAGGTCAGATTTCCCACATGTAAAAGATCTCTACTGTCTGGGACAGCTGATCTTCTTACAACTCACTTAACATCCCCATCATCTACTTCAATGTTCCATTCTGGGCCTCAAAACTAAGACTATTTCTGTACTTTCTCTTGGCAGGCACCTCATACCTCCAAAAGGAAGTTGGAGGTGCAAGATGAATGAGGCCTGACACCTCTGAGCCTAGGCAAAGCCACCCCCAGAATGATGATAGCTCAAGTGACTGGGGTGATGTGGAGCCATGCTATGGATTCTCTGCTTCGGAGCCACAGAAAGAGTGTAGTGCATTTGATGCCATTGATTTTAGAGCTGAGATGAAACGTTTGGTTTTGTGAGTGTCAAAAATAAAACAAAATAAAGTAAAAGAAAGAGAAAGAGAAAAAAGAAGCCTCCTATTTTTGCAGTTTTCAACACATGTGAACATATCTGACATTGACTTTAGCCTTCTTCAAGTGGTTTATATTTGAGTTAAGTGACCACAAAAAGGGGGAGCTGTGGGTACAAGCATATTAGCCCACCCCTGTTGCCTAGCCTTCTGCAAGTCGGATGGTGGTGGTGGTAAACGTATGAACTGAAGAGCCTGCTTTTTGGATCTGTTATGATTCTGTTTCACACACAGGAAGACTCCATGAGTACAGGAGGCCCCTCACTTTGTAGATTCAGCTTACAACTCATGGAAGGTGATGCGAACAGCATCAGCGGTGTGGAATTAGTGCCCTATGCACACCATCGTGAGTTTAGCTAACTCACATACGGAATATTCGAAGAGGGCTATTGTCTCAATGCTGAACTTCTCTGAGCCATTTCCCTTTTCATCTGTTGCCCTCACAGTCTTCTTTAGCCTCTTTTCCCCACACTGCCGCTTATTCCAATGGTAAACCATTTTATTTTGTCAATGGTTACACAAAGAAGATGTGCAACTCTTATGCAATGATGTCAAGGAAGCTTGAAAACAAGAGAACCCATTGATCACCTCAGACAAAGTGGCAGCGGCTGAGGACTGTGAGGGCAGAAAGTATCAAAACAATCTGATTACTCAGTGAGACAAGTATCCTTAGCAGTCCTTTGTCTGGCTGTGTTAATTTCAAGGTGAATGTTTGTCGGAGCCCTAATCAGGGCAGGAGTGAGGAACAAATGCATCTTGGGGAAGTGGTTTTGCAGAAACAACTTAAGGGTGATTTCATACATGAGGCTTAAATAATCTTTGAATCTCTCCATTGCTCAACCATGGCCAATTTTAATCAGGCTATGCCAGCACTTTCAGACTACTCCTAGGGTGCCAATGCATAGGCTGGCAATGCAGAAGCCTAGCATTTTAATTCTCCACAATGCCCCAGAGTAACATGATATCGGGGGCATGGCAGGCAATTTATCATGGGGGCTTGAAGCTGCCCATTGCCACCAGCAGGTAAGCCTGAAGCCAGGGGCACCCTGTAAGAGGAGGAGGGGCACCAGAAAGCCCTCTGCCAAGGGCCCCTTCAGATTTGGAGATGGCTCTGTTAGAAAGCAGAATCAAGGCTTTTACAATATAAGTGTGCCTTCTGCGCACCTTAGGTTTCCCATTCGCATCCCATCACAAATCTAAAGCAAGGATCACTAAGCCTCACACACAAAAAGGTAAAAGACAACACAGAAGGACACCAATAAACAGCAAAGGAAAATTGAGCTATAGAATGAGACCACCCAAGGCACGTAAGTTGTATGAAGTGGATGGAGAATGGAAGATGTGTGTGAACAGACTGCAAGGTGAAAAACGAGATGTTGATGAAACTTCTCAGAAAAGACAGTCACAGGTTAACAGTAGGAGTGAACGTTGGCAGTGCACCCCACCCTAACCTCACCCATTGCTAGGCAGCCATTTCCCCATGCACTTGCCCTAAAGTAAGATCACGGTGCACCCACTATTGTCTGTATGATCTGCTATAGAAAGTAACTTGCAGAAGCGGCATTTTTCAGATCACATTTCATGAACTGCATTTGTTTAGCACTCCACACTTTTTCCTTTTTTTTAAAAAAAAAAAAGTGAAAACATGTGGGTTTCAATACAGAAGCAAAGACTTATCATCTGGCCAGAATTCTCATGCAATTTCTTCCCTTTCCATAGCCCTTGGCCCACCCCTATCCTGAACCTAGTTGCTGGTGTATTTTTAGTTTCCTAGTACAGTGGTACCTCTGGTTACGTACTTAATTTGTTCCAGAGGTCCATTCTTAACCTGAAACTGTTCTTAACCTGAAGCACCACTTTAGCTAATGGGGCCTCCTGCTGCTGCCGCGCCACCACCATGCGATTTCTGTTCTCATCCTGAAGCAAAGTTCTTAACCCGAGGTACTATTTCTGGGTTAGCGGAGTCTGTAACCTGAAGCATATGTAACCTGAAGTGTATGTAACCCAAGGTACCACTGTACTGCAAAGTTTGTGTCCACTGCATCCATGCAACTTCCGCCAGACAACTTAGCAACCCATCTGCTCCTCAAACTGGTTCCTTCCCAATTCTTCCTTGAAATTGCAGGAGTGCAATCTTGTGCAGTCTGCCATTAATAAGGAACAACAGCTTAGGCTCACAAATCCAGGAGGAGGAGGAGGCACATGTGTACAGGAGTATAGGGAGGGAGGGAGAAATTTGATTCAGTATGCATTTAAAGCTGAACGTATCAAATTCATACGCTATCCTTCAAAATTCACACATCAGAATTTTACAATGCAGTTCTCCACCCCAAAAATGCTTCCAAGAACACATACATTGGGGATAAGAATGGAGGTATTCTTGAAAAAAAACATACAAAAATGCATTATATCGGAGTGGGGGGAATTGTTCAACAAAAATATGTACATTATTCAAAACTGCATATAAAAATGTGTTTGATGGGAGAAATTGGCACTAAAACACTATTGAATTTTCAAGAGGATTTTTAAAATTATTACTGCAAAAAGCAGACAAATGAGTTCAAAATTAGAAAAATGAGAAACTGAGAGGACCAAAATTGACAGATCCTTCCATCCCTATATGGGAAATTTGTACTGAAGCAATACAAGATAAAAATGAACCAGAGATGAACTTGGGGGGGGGGGGAGAGATAAAATGCTGCTGTGGCCACACCCCTGGAAATAAAAAGAAGTTGCTTTTTGACTGGGATAATAAGAGCTTAACTAAACATTACAGGGAATGCATTGTGGCAGACCAATATCTGCCCCCTTCATCTCCTTGATGATGTCACTGTGATTAATATTTCCCCACTCCACTTAACTGGCAGCTACAGAGGATGGGGAAATAAATGCTTGACAGCATGATGTCATTTCACATGTTGATCTGACATGTTTATTTGACATTACTGGTGACATGCATATGGCAGGGCAGGGCGAGTCATGTAAGCTGGCAGCAGCTATGTGCCCTATTAACATCTGATTAGGCCCTGAAAGTAGTAAATATATCAGAAGAGCAAAATTCTCTCTATATTTGAATACTGAATATTCAAAATATTGATTGAATTTCCCCAAACTTTGTCAAATGATTTGAAGCATAGAATTTATGCATGTTGAGGAAATAGCAGGAGAGTCCACAAAGATCTCAAAATGCATTTGCTATCCCTGATCCTAAACCTTTCCCCCCCCCCCCCCATGAATTAAGTCCAATGGGACTTCTTAACAAGTATGCTTAAGGCTGCACAATAAGCAAATGGTTAAGTAAGAATTCTTGCTGTCATTCCTCTTCCATTAGAGGGTGGCAAGCTGGTAAAGAGGAGGAAGATCCACAAAGAGGCAGGGCCACATGGCGGCACTTTTCTGGGGCGGTGGCATGGTGACATCGTAACAACCACCACAGAGAAGCCATACTGCATATCAGCTTGTACAGATGGTAACCCAACGTGGATCCTGATTAAAGTATGTGCTTGCTGTCTGCATGCAGGTTAAAACTGGCACTAAGTAATCCTGTGCTGTCCTTCTTCAAAGCTCCTTCTCTCATGCAGCAAGAGGAGGTTTGAAAAGCCACAGAGAACTCTTGTCTTTTAAAACACCTATTATGATGTTTAAGTGGGAATAGACAGGGCCAGAAGGCAGGCTTGAATCAGTGCTTGGAAGGAATGAACTAATTCAGTATAACTAATTCACTGAATTTTTAAAAATATCTGAATTACATCTGAAAGAAGCTGTTATAATTTCTCGGTGAACACGAATTAAGTTCCTTTTGCTGTGGAACTCTGGGCAATTTCTAATTTGATGAAATTTCAATTCTTATAGGGGTTCATCATCCCTAACTCTGTTTGTTTGTGGCCAATGCATTGACCATTTTCACCTATTTGAAAAGTGATGCTCCTATTTAAGCTTAAAGAACACAGTTGTTGGGGGTAATAAGTAAAGCAGTTGTTGACATTACACATTGCGTGCTTTCTTAGACTTTTTGAGTATGTTTTACATTTTAGCAGAGCAGCTTGTAAAACTCTGAAGGCTGGGGGGAGGTGCCAAGGATGACGTGAACAAAATATGAATTGAAGGGATCATAGAATCATATCATCATGGAGTTGCAAGGGACCTCAAGGGTCATCTATTCCAACCCCCTGAAATGCAGGAATCTCAACTTGAACTGTACTTGATTCCTTTTGGGAGGGGTGCAGTGCAACTAATTCCTTTTTAAAATGAACTTTCCAAGTACTGGCTAGGATTCATTTATTCACAGAGCACTACTGAAAACACCTTCCTGATGGGCCGGCTATACTATCAGGCAGGGTGGAGTCATCGCCTGAGGCAGTAGAACCCCTGAGCCCCTCAGCCATTGTTCACTGTAGGTGATCAGAGCTACATTTGCCGCAGGCCTGTCAATATACCTCCTGAACTAGCCTGCTGCCCTCAGGTGCACTGAAGGATGCTATCGCATTGACAGCATTGAAGTAAGGTTCAATTGCCAATCTAGTCAGCATCAGTACATAGAATGGTAGAGACGCCATCTTATGTTCTGTCTCAGACAGGGAAAAGTTTGGGGCTGGCCCTGCCTTTCCCAGCATCAAAGTCTGCATACCCATGAAACGTTTTTGTTTTTGTTTGTTGTTGTTTTTTAAGCAAAAGGGTCTTCCCATCTAACTGCTGATGTTCTGCCATGTCACTCTGAAGATGGCAGCTCGGCCCAGCCAGTGAACTGCGCCCTTCAACCCAACAAGATTAGGTGAACAGAGAATCCAGTAAGATGCCATCTGGGCAGTTTTGGCACTAGGTGGCATTGGATTTAGTTGTGGCTGGGCGAAGTCTGCAGTTGCTGCTCTGGTCTTGTTGGAGAGAGACAGGAAAGCTCTTGTCTAGCTCACTGGACTCTCTCTCCTCTAAGCCAGTGATTCGTAAACAGCCTCCTCACTTGCCTGCTCCATCCCTCCTAGCAATAGCCTTTTAGTTGGACCCAGTGCCAGCATTAGCAACTGCTTGCATGCTGAGTAAAGGTGGCCAGGAGTCAGAGAAGGAGGTGCGGGGAGAAGGTCTCCCTCCACCAAGGTGAAAGGGTCAGAGGAGGTGTTGAAGAAAATTTAAAAGGGATATACAAGGCAATCCTTGTTATATAAACCGGGAATAAAAAGGGAATGCATAGGAGAGAGAAACTGTTCTGGGAATGAGAAGTGGCTGTAAAAGGACCAGGGAGAATGGGTGACAGAAACTGGAAATTGTGGGATATGGTACTAGTGTGAAAGGAGAATGGGAGAAGAAATTACAGGAGATTTTTTTTAAAAAAACCACACACACACATTGAGAGGTATGTGGGGATGGGGAGAGAAAAATATAAAAGAAAAAGCCTTCTTAATGGATCAGAGAGGCTGTCACAAATAGCTCCAGAGCAAAGGTCTGTACTTGAGGAAAGCTTAGGTACGGAACCCTTGCCATTAGGAAAATGCTGGAGCAAAGAATTTAGGAATGTCCAAAAATGGATTAGATATTAGTAGGAAATGATGTCAGTAATTGCCAGCTGATTATGCCATTTGCCACCTGATCCTCCATTTGCCACCATTTTGTGACTGTTGGGGCTCAGTAATATGAGCCCTGAGAGCAGAAAAGGTGAGAACCTCTTGCTGTAGGTCTTCTATGACATGAAACCATGGTTCTGGGTGGGCTCCTTAATGCTAGCTGGAAGGCCTGCACAGGTCTAATGAACTTTTAGCCTGTCAATGGACTTTTAAAAAATACTTCCATTGTCCAGAGACAAAGATTGCTTTTTTATGCTTCCTAAGTCTTAGGGTCACTCCTTCAAAAAGAATGATTTCACTATCTAATACTGAAGTTATTTTGGTTGCCTCAGGAGATGGAAAATAGGTGGCAAATGTACAGACATTCACTGGGATTTTTTATGTAATCACAATTCCAACCATACCACAACAACCATCTCACTTTGGTTTGGTTTTTCAAGGTTTATGTATGTGAAATACTTGCTAATCTTTTACAAAGCTTTGGAGGTGACATTTTGTCATGTGATGCTTGATGCTTGATTCTGCCATAGACCAAATGCTTGATTCTACCATAGACAGAAAGAGATTTCTTTTATATATAAAAAAACTTAGGGTTGAAGGCACATTTTATCTTTTATGTAAAAAAAAGAACTAGTCGTGAGACTTGGAAACATTTTATATGACTGTGTGTTTTCACTTTATTTCAGTTATTGAAAATCTGAAATTACTGTTGTTTTTTCAGCATGAACTGCAACAACTAAGTTTAATAGGCTATACCATTCTGCAGTCTTACATTCCCAAAGCCCTTTTACATGTTCCATGTTGTTGGAAGAGAGGACTATGAGTTGATGTTGCCGTCACTTAGTGTGGACAGGCACTACATTATCTAAGATAATGTAGCCACCCTTTGGTACAACAATCAGGGCTGTTAAATTGTAATTTAGACAGCTGCAGTGGAAATTATACCTGCCTATCACCTGGTGATTGATTCTATGTTCCAGGCCCCAACCCCTGAAATCTCGCACCACTTGGAGATTGAGGTGGCATGTAACAATATCCTAAAAAAAATACCCTCAGATAAGGCCAAACCCCAAATAAGACCAATGTGGCTCTCAGACCTGAACCCCTGAACCTATTTACAGAAGGTGCTTGTAATTTTCAATCTTTCGGACTGGGGCATAAGGAACAAGGGCAGGGTGTCCCTCTCTCTAAGGCTGCCACCCACAGTAGCTTATACTGTATAACATTTGACAGAACTGCTGCATATCTTCTTTTGAGTAGTTTAATGTTCATAATTTCAAATTACAGTGGTACCTCTGGTTAAGAACTTAATATGTTCCGGAGGTCCGTTCTTAACCTGAAACTGTTCTTAACCTGAGGTACCACTTTAGCTAATGGGGCCTCCCACTGCTGCTGCCGCGCGATTTCTGTTCTCATCCTGAGGTAAAGTTCTTAACCTGAGGTACTACTTCCAGGTTAGCAGAGTCTGTAACCTGAAGCATCTGTAACCCGAAGCGTTTGTAACCTGAGGTACCACTGTATGACTCAGGAAAACTACACACGTTACACAACAGTGTGTAAAGAAGCCCTGCTCAGTGTTTGTTTGTTTGTTTGTTTTAATGAAAAGTTGCCTCAGGAGGCTGTGATTTTGAGGGGAGTAGCAAAGGTGGTGTTATGCTTCACTCTTCCCTTGCTGGCTAATTTTCTGTTGCAACATTGCTCCTTCCAAAGCTGCTTTCTCCCTATTCCCCGAGGGAAGAAAAATCCCATTTTGATGTCTGGAAACCAAGGGTAGGGCATCCTGTTTCGCTGTTTGAGAAGAAATGGGGAATGCCACCTCTGCCTGTGCCCCACTGCCCCTGCCTAAGCATCTATTACCAAGGTTGTGCAGTGGCAGTGTGAAGCAGCAGCAGCAACAGTAGGTTCCAGCAAGACCTCTCAAGATCTTGCTAAAATCTCGCAAGATCTTGCCAGAAATCAGCCACTTCTTCACCTGTAGTGGAGGCAGCAGGGCAGGTGTAGAAGTCACTACCTTGAACCCTTCCACCGCCTGAAGTAGCTTCTTCTCTTTGCCTAATGGTAGCCTTGCTGGAAACCTGTGAGGGCAGGTGATTTTGTACACACACATACTGCTTAGCACCCGTTTTTCCAACTTGAAATTTAAGCCTTCCAAGAGTGCTTTTCATTTCATTTTAGTCAGGAATTAATTAAACCCATGTTCATATAGCGGGTAGTTTGCACCTGAGGGTTCATGTATTTCTGTGTAATTCTGCATGGAGACCCAAATAAGACATCTTTGGGTGACAAGATGTAAAACAGACTTTTCAGCAGAAAGGGCATTGTGTCTTTGGAGTTTTTGACATGTTTGCTTAAGTTTTGCACAGATTTTGTGTGAAGGGGGGGGACCACACACATTCTAGACAGTGTCAGATTTCTCTAACATGAAATTTCCCAGAAGTAAAATACTAAATTTATCCCCAGGAATTTAGTCCAAGGATTTCAGCACAACACAAACTTTACATATACAATCATTTACGCCTTTGCTCTCTAGAATGAGAAAGAGAGCATCTGAAATGGTTTGATTTTCATTTTTGATTTTTAAAATGTAAATTGGCATCTCCTCAAAATGAAAACGTTTTCATTTTTAGTTGCACTACGCTAACAATACATTATAATGGGGGGGGGAAGAATTCTGAACACTTCAAAACAAAACTGAAGAGGGTGGGAGGGAGGGAGGCAAGGAAGTCCAAATTTATAACATATTTTTTTGAACATAAAGGACATTTTTAGGCAAAACACTTAATGAGTTTCAAAATGGATTACACACTTTTGAAAGATGAAAAAACATCACCTCTGTTGTCATTATAAACCAAGAGAGTATCTGATGGCTTCCCTCCGCAGCATTGCCTAAAATCTCCATTAGGGCTGCAATCCTACACCCACTTACCTGGGAGTAAGCTCCACTGAACTCAATGGAATTTACTTCCGAGTAGACAAGACTAGGATTGCGCTGCAAATCACTCTAGTCCGGGAGTTTTCTGATGGCTCTGCAAACTTTTCCTTCAATAGCTGATGCCCCTTTCCGGGATGTTACTATCTCTTTCTCACACTGGGCATGCCAACTCTCTTTCCACTCTTTCCTTCCTCGCTCTTCCACCTCACTCCCCATCTTCCCAGGGGGGCTTGTCCAGTCCCATGTGCGATACTCACGGATGCTCCTCCCAAGAAGGGGATCTCTCCAGACACAAAGTATGAGGTATATACACTGGTCAAGGTGCTGAGAATGATCCCAAAGCTAATGTGTATGAAGCCAGTCATGATCTGGATGGTCTGTGGGAACAATCAGGGGAATAATACTCGGCACTTGATGGACTAAATTAACATTCACACACACACACCCCTTAATGATTACACCAACTTCGAAGGACTGACGCCAGAGAATCTTCTGAGTTGATCTTTTTAATGGTAAGATCACTATTCCTTATGTTCTAGGGCATCTTTCTGCTGAGAAAGTGCTTCACAGTTTTCATCTATTTCATTTCACTTTGTGTATCAGGAGATCTTTATGTCCTAAGGACTTCCCGACTGTTCACCAGTATAGTTAATGTCATCTGGTAACTAAATGGAAGCTGACATTTACAAAATCTGCTCTAATTAACACTTCCGTATTGTTCAGATGTTGGCAGAGGAGGAGGACATCCCACTAAAATCTACTCCAAGCCAGGCTGAGCTGATCCAGGTGCACCCATGAGCAAGTAAGAGAAAGTGAGATTTGGAGGAGGGGGTTCGTGACCACAGCAAATCCTGCTGGATGATTGTTTGGATTGTTCCTAGGACTCCCAGCAGGCAATGAATCCTGGTCTTTTGGTTAACTCAGAATCAGCCAGATTATGGGAGATAACAGAGGATGTATGCAGAATGTATTCAAATAAGCTGGATTCAGGTCACCAGCCATTTATGATAGGGCCACAGCTATCTATCTATCTGCAAACATCCTGGTTTTACCACCTGCCTGGCACAGCAAAAATGGGAGGTGGCTGAAATTTATGACTGATGGGCTGTGTTTAGCTGGGTCATAAATTACACAAGGCTATTCTAAACGAGGCATTGGAGAATATCAACTGAAATGTGTTCTTTTGCCATGGCCTGTACACAGGGGACCATGTTTATCTGGTCTGCCACTGCTCTGGATTTTGTGAGGCATGTGCAAAAGGACTCTGTTAAATCCAGTTTTCAACTCAAATTGCTGTTGGTTGTACAAATATTTACCGTTTGGGTAAGAATAAACTGCCACCATGTTACAGCCAAAGAAACTGCAGCAATATTGTAACATAAGCCTCTTGCATTTTGGTCAGCTGGGTAGACACTGATCAGAGATCATAATATGTGGAAGATGCTTCAATTTGGAGCCTGTTTAAAGGCAGAAGAAGCAAAAAGGATTCTTAAGGACCACCAAGCTTGTGCCTGTCTGCCTTCTGGGATCTAGTCTGTTTTAGGACCATTCTTCTGTCCTGGCATCGGCTGACAAGCAGCTGAAGGAAAAGAGCCAGGAAAACTTAGACAGGTGCAAGGAGGTAAAGAAGGTAGCAGCCGTCAGAAGATAATTGACAACATTACACATTGGGGCTGAGTTAGTCAAAGTGGTTCCCTCTAGATGTCGATGGATTACAATTGCCATCAGCCCTAGCCAGCTGTGACCAATGATCAGGGGTGATAGGAATCGTAGCCCACAATATATGGAGGGAACCACTTTGGCTACCTTTGGGAAAGGTGCACATGAGAATAGTGTTTCTAGGGGTGGGGGGACAATATTTCTTCTGCTAGATATCCTCACAGTAACAAGTAAGAAACAACAACACCGTGAGCATAAGCAAAGGCGCCACTAGGTGACAAGTCTGACACCTTCAGAGTCGCTAAATCACTTTTTCAAAGTTAAAGGACACTGTTGAACTATACTGATTTATCTGGTGAAAATGGCAGGTGTCTGTGAAATTACAGGCCAGGCCACATCTTCACTGCTGGTGAATCAGGTCCCACTTGGTAGAGCATCAGTTTCACTGGCTCAAAACCAAGTAGAATTTGCCATCCACAGGAGATTACCACTTGCATCTACTCCACACACAGTAGAATTGACTGGGACAACCCCTGATCAAGGTTTCTGAATTTGCTTTACAAATAACCTGATATTTACTAGCCACTTTTTAAATGTCTGTCTGTCTGTCTGTCTGTCTGTCTGTCAGCTGGGGGGAATTGTGTGCCTCTCATTTTTATCTGAACATAATCTTCATCTCAGTGCATTTGTGCTTCCATGCAATTGTGCAGATTGTGCGGCTCGGTAAGAGAGAACAAGGCACACCGTATGAATTGCATTTGTGCCAACAGATGGGCAGGAAGAGTAGGGCTGCAATCGCATGCTCACTTTCCTGGGAATAAGCCACATTGAATGCAGTGGGACTTACTTCTTAGTAGGCATGTGTAGGATTGCACTGTAAATGTGGTTCTTTTCAGCATGGTGCAGCCTAGCACAGCAGTGTGCTGACATCAGTTCCTCTGACAAGAGGCTATTTTTGTGGTGACCCAAAGCACTCTTCTAGCATATCTGTTGCCTCACAAGCCCACACGCTCTGGTTGGGAGCTGGGCTGTGTTCATAAAGGGAGTCGGTGTTGCTGGTCTGGGAAATCCCAGCACAGCGGCATACCTATTTTTAGAAGGTAGGGAAAAGTCTGTTTCCATGCTTTCATAATTCACTGTAGCACTAATGCATCGAATCAGACATGAGATTTCCCTTTGTAAATGTGCTGGACTCTCATTTATTCTGAACCTGTGCAGGACCAGTACACGTGAGTGTGTAGTAGACACAGCAGTTACTTTCTATGCAGATTCCAACGGATATGGCCGTGTGCTTAAGCTATTGTCTTAAAGGCAGCCCCATGCATTTTGTCTTCTTACAACTGCAGAATAAGAAACCTTTTCATGTGCATAAAGAGAGTGGCATGGAATCTGGGCTGTATAAAGACATTGTACTGAGCAGGTCCACTCAGTAATGTGGCCCTAGAGCCTTCTCTTTCCCCAAAGTGTTGCCTTATGTCTTGCTATCCTCCATCAGTCTATAAAGAGGCAGGAAAGGAAAGAGGGGAGAAGGCTGCTGGGGGGAGGGTGTACTGCTGCTCCTTATTATCTGCAAACCATTGCAAAAGTGTTCTGACTCTGCTCTTAACATTCAGAACAAGGCAAGGCTGAAAAACTCACTCTGCCTCTAGGATCAGTGCCAAGGCTTGTTTTGAGTCACCACTCACCAAGACTCAGCCATGGAACCCATTTTAAAAGCTAGTTCTGAGCTCTGGCAGGAGTATGTGGATTAATAGTGAGGAGAAGGCCTCTGGGCATGTGCAAAGTATTCACACCTACACACACACACACCATATCTGGAATTAGTGTTCAGGGCCCCAGGTCAGGTTTGTAAACGGTCCAATTTCCCCCACCAGACTGATGCAAGGATAGACACCTGTGCCTCCACTTCCCCGATGTTGATGGACTCCAGCTGCCAATGGTCAGGGATGAAAGGAGCTGTTGTCTAGCAAGATCTGTAGAACCACAGGTTCCCCACCCATGGTCGATCTAGTCCAGTATTCTGTTTGCAATTGCAGTCAGCCCACTGTGTCTCGAAAACGCAGAAGCAGGGCATAAAAGCAATGGCCCTCCCTTGTCTGTCCCCAACACCGGGCATTACGGGGTATACTGCCTTTGAACATGAAGGCTCCATTTAGTTGTTGTAGCTAACAGTGATGGACACAGCAATTTTCTCTCGCAAATAGTGGTGCTAGGATTTGATCATGTTCCACTGCCTATTTCTGCCTTTTGTGCTGTGTTGCTAGAGCGATGCTGCTCACTTCCTTCATGTACTGAGGCACGAATGCTCATCTGTCCCCTCGCCTAAAATTGATGCTGAAGTCTGCAACCGTGTAGCACACACCAGGGCACCGGGCATTTTAGAGGTAGCGACCAGCAGGATCTTTCCCCACTCTCCTTTCTGGCTGCAGATTTAGTTACTACTCCTTGGGAATATTCAGCATATGAATACACACACATACACAAAACCACGTCCTGAGAACGAGCTGCTCTCAAAAAGCTATTCCCTTTCATCTGAGAGGCATAATAAATTCCCAGGTTAGTTTAAGGGACCATAATGATTAGCCGTTCTGATGTTTCTCCACCACCCCCCCGTCCTGCTTCTCTCTCTTTCTCTCACACATGCTTAATTCAGAAACAGGAGAGATCTAGAATACCACTGCCCCCTAAGTTAGGAGATCGGCTGCCATTTCAGGGGAATCCACCCCAGTCCTCTCCATCCTCCTCCTCCTCCTCCCCCAATATCCCAGCTCACCGCCCTCCCCAAAGTGCCTCCCCCACCGTTCTGTCACTCACCCCCAGCACTCGATTCTTCCCTTTGGGAATGGTTTCCACTGTGTACATCACAGTCCTTCTCCCCAGCCGGAAGGTCCCCATTCCCTGCATGGGAACTAGCTGGCGCGTTTGCTCCCAAGCCTACTCGGTCCCTAGCAACTGAACACTCAGCTGCATCAGCCCCACGCAGGCTGAGCATGGATGGCAGCTCGCTTGGCCCGGTTGCGCTCAGCTCCAGCACTCTCTCTTCGAGGGAAACGAGAAAGAGTGGTCTTATTGGCTTCTGTCAGTGGTGATGTCACACACAGTCGGATATGCTGCAGAAAAGACAGAACGGGGTGGTGGTGGGGGGATTCATTCCCTCTTCCTGCTGCTGCTGCTGCTGCTCATAGGTAAATCCTGCTTCTGCCAGAATTGCTTCCTCAGCAAGCACAAAGGCAAAACCAGGGGTGGGTGGGTGTTTTGCATGATACTACCAAATTCCAGGGGAAATACATGCTTAGTCTGGAGAGGCAACACTGACGAAAATCCCTGTGACGGGAGTTTGCTGCAAACAGAGATGGAAAACTGGGAACATGAGGTACCAAGGAAGTGGTCACCAAAGGAAAAGATTCTTGGATCTTCTCCATGGCAATGCAAAATCTACCTTGAAATATCACTCTTGTTTTATTCATTTGCCACATTACATTTATATAATGCTTATACATTTGTATCTTTTCCTCCCAGAAACTTAAGGCAATGTACATTGTCTTCCTCGCCCCAGTTTTATCCTCACAAAACTCTTGTGTGGTCAGTTAAGCTGTGAGGTGGCGGCTGGTCCAAATTCATCCAGTGAGCTTCATGGCTGTTGAGTGTTTTGAGCCTAGATCTCTGTAATCCTTGCCTTGCAACACTAGACCGCCCTGGTGCATCTCACCTAAATATGAGATAGATGGCGCAATCTTATAAATGCCTACCCAAAAGTAAGTCCTGCTGATTTCAGTGGGACTTGGTTCCAAGTAAGTGTGCTTAGGATTACAGTCTGAGTCGTCTCTTTCAAAGTCATTGTAGCTTCCGACTCGGTCCTGCCCCAAAAGACAAGTTTGTGACTTTGTTTGTGCTGCCAAAAGAGATCTGCAGAGCATCTCATTTCTGCTTGTGGCATCCTGTAGCCTGGATTCCATTTGCTGAGGTTGTGTGGATCTAATCAGCCTTTGGGTGCTGCAGGGAGTTCCAAGAACTATATTTCATTCTAAAGCCAACCAGGGATTCCCCCTTTCCCCCTGGCAATGTGCCAGAGGTATTAACTTGTGGTAAGTAGATACAACCCCTCCACCTGATTAGGACAGGTTAAGGCATTAATTTGGAAAGAATCAAGTGAACATTCAAAGTTAATCAATTTTAATTTCAGATTGTTTATTTCCAAACTAAAGCCCTGCTGTACTACCAATGCTGCCTAGCAGCAGCTCCTCCACCAAACTAGGGTGCAAGCCCTTCCTACTACTGCCATTCTCATAATCTTTCAAGTTGAGGGGCCAGTGGGGAGGCCTGACAGCAACTATAAGGCCCTTTGCATCAGCCTAGACTATGGAGGTGCCTGGGCCCAGTACAAAATGGATCTGGAATATGTACCGCTAAGATTCAGTGTCTAACACACCCTCCAGATTATGGACTCCGCATGCTGGATTCTTGTGTGTGGACTGAAACAAACAAAATATAACTACACAAAGATAACAGAATAAACAACACACAGAATCTGAGATAAGGCAACACTGCAATGAAAGTGGTGGTGATGATAGATTAGATAGATAGATGATAAATGATAGATAGATAGATAGATAGATAGATAGATATAGATAGATATAGATAGATATAGATAGATATAGATAGATGATAGATGATAGATAGATAGATAGATAGATAGATAGATAGATAGATGATAGGTAGGTAGGTAGGTAGGTAGGTAGGTAGATGATAGACAGACAGACAGACAGACAGACAGACACAGATAATAGCAATTGAAAGGCTTAGGTACTAATCCAAATCCATGTCATGCTTAAGTGCTACAAAGGTGATCTGCGATACTCTTGAAGCCAATATTGCCATAGCAACCTCAAAAATAATTGGAATCTCCCCCCCCCCAAAAAAAGCAGCAGAGCTCAAGAAGACTGGATAGCTAAGATTGCAGAGGAGCAAGGGCTGTGAAATCACTTAGGCACACTTCCCCAAGGGTAAACGTAAGCTTGAATTAGAGCCCTCATGCTGAGAGCATTGTTTTAAGATCTATCCAAATAGTCTGGCCAATCAACGTGCCATGATTAACGTATGCCAGTTTCGGAAGCAAAGCAGCTAGCAATCAATACATACATATTACAGTATGACCATAAACCACCTACTGCATACAATAAAATGTCACAACTGATAACATCCTTAAAGGCCATAAAACAGAATCAATCATATCTACTTAGAAACTTCACCCACTACTGCTTCCACTGCAGAAAGACCTTCATAAGTGGAAAGTTCCCTGAAGGTCAAGGAGGCCGAGTTTGCTGAAAGTACTTACCTGTTTCATAGGATGCGAGGTCCATGTCCACGCAAACAAGGGAAAGAGTGCTAGGTAGTCTTGTGCAGGATACTCAGCAGGGCTGGTTCATTTATATAGCACCATCAGTGTTGCTGGCACTTTACAAGAGGACAGGTCTTTCCCCCCAGGGGCTTCCTTTCTAAATCTCAGTACAGATGAAATAACAGAGGAAAGTGGGGTGGCTGGGGAATGGAGGCAGTGGGGGCAGCATACGTGCTTATTCCGTTCCACATACTATAACTTAGACTTGGTTACAGGACGGAATGTGGAGGCTACAGAGGCTGCAAGCACAACTTACATTTGAAGCCCATGACTTCTGCCTGCAAATCCTGGGAACTATAGTTTGTTATGGGCCTTTGTTTGCTTGTTTATTTCTTGCTTGCTTGCTTTTTAACTTACTGTTTTATTGGAGGCCATATTTCTAGGGTGAATTGGCACCCTGGAAAAGAGTGACCCTAATCTGGTAAAGTTTACATGTACAGTATAATAGTCTAGGAGCATGTCCTTTCTTCTGACTTTAATTCCTCTTTCAGGGTGTGTTTATGCAAACAAAAAGCCACATTATTTTAGACTCATACTTTTTTGAACTAAAACCCATGTGGCTTAAGATTCTTTTTACCACACTTTGGAACAGTCTGCTATCCCTGAAGGTCTTCTTGCCTGATTGCTCTGTACTCTGTTTCTACCCGCCTCTACTTATTTAGTTGCATAAACATAATACATTCTCTCTTCATAGAGTCAAAGAGGTTTCTGCTCCCAATGGTAGAGGATGAACAGGCTATTTTCCAACTCAAAAGTCTTCCACTTTGTATTCTACATGGATGCTTGAGCTGTCCATGAGGGCTACTATAGCAAGCATCAACTAGTGATGATTTGTGGTCACTAGAACAGTGCTTTTCAACCAGTGTGCCGTGGCACACTGGGGTGCCTTGAATGATGGTCAGGGGTGCCACAGGCAACATTGGCCTCTGTCCCTCTTTCCTTCTCTCCGTCTTTTGATGCCCTCTCATATCTCTGCCTCCCAAAAGCTTGCACAGCTGTTTGTTGCAGCAGCCCTGGCTACTAGCTCCCCAGGCGAATGGCGCCTCTGGGTCTGGTCAGATCACGCAGACACCCTCTGTTAGTGTAGTACAAGAAGTAGCGTTTGAGAAACTGAATAAAAACTTTGTATGGGTATAGACAGGGTCCATGTGAAGCTCAAGTACACAACCTTCAGTAGGGAGAAACTAGCAAAGAGTACAATCAACTAATGGGTTAATCTGGCTGCAGATAGATCCAATTCCCAGGCAAATAACCATTTCCTTGTACATCTCCATTCATTAAAGATAGATGCTGGAATCATTTTAGGTTTAGTAGACAATTAGCTAATATTTCATGAAAAGTACTTAGCTGTAATAGAGAACATTTCGAGATTCCATTAGTTGCTTTCTGTGAAGAAAGGTGTGTTATTTTTTGCTTTCTCAAAGTAACGTTATACTACACTGCCACTCCTAAAAATATACACATGCTGCTAGACAGAGTGCCATCATAAAATGCAGCATTAAAATACTGATGGATTACAAGTTCTGTTCTTGTAAATAGATCCTTGTTTTCTGGGGAGGGGGGTGCTTTCTGCCTCCCAAATTCCTTTTCCTTTCCTTTCTTACTCGGGATCTAACCAGTTGATAATATATCTTAAAGTGCAGAGGGGGAACAATATCTACAGCAGGTCAAATTGGCTATTGGCCAGCTATGGTGGAGCATGGAGCCTGTCTTATCCCGTAATGTAGTTCAGCTTGCTTGCTTGCATCTCCTGGATTCACAGGTCCTTTTGGACCCTGAAGAAGGCAGAACAGGGGTGGGGCAGAATGGGCAGAGTGGGCTTATGAACACTCCACCAATGTGCATGGGGGCCAGGAACGCAACCCCGCACAAAATGGTTGCCGCCTATACAATGGAACAGCTAGTAGATATTGTACTATGTGCATTTTTGGTTGGCGTATAAAAGCAGATGGGGCTACCACAGAATTTAGGTGACAGTGCCAGTATGCCTAATAGAGCACAAAGATGTTACACCCACAACTGTCAAAATGGAGCTGATTCATCTATCAATTTCTACATGGTGGTGCCACCATACAGTCACTTTGGAGGGGAGGCCTGGCATGATGAACCAGTCTTTTGGGATCATGACTCAGCCTGTATTCAGCAGCGGCAGCAGCATCCAAGACAGGAGGCGCCACATTGCAAAGTGAGCTGTTCCACTTGTACTGACCCCATGGTCTCCCCAATGAACTCATGGATTGCAATACAGAGAGATCTGAACATAAGAAGATCATGATGCATCATGTCGAAGGCCCATCTAGTCCAGCCTCCTGTTCTCGCAGTGGACAACCAGAGACCCTCAGGAATCCCACAAGCAGGACCTTGTGATTCTCAGCAACTGGTATTCGGAGGCAAACTGGCACAGTTTCTGTGGGGCTTATGGAGCCTGGATGTACAGAGCCAGCTCCTGCGGGCATGTCGTAAGGGGAAGATTATTGGATGTGATGCATACAAGTGTCAAGGGTGTTGCCACCCATCGTGAGTTAACACATGCACCATCTCCACTTATCAACCTGCCAAGAGAAAGAGACGTGGGTTATTAACCTTGTCACATAGTGTCAGAGGCTAGCGTTCCATCATCACATCTGTGCAGAGATCTGGATGGTTTGAAGTAAATTGTAGGCA